CGCAGGATAGAGCAGGGTTTAGGGCTGTTGTGCATAGGGTCGCTATGAGTCGGAAACGACTCGATGGCACATAACAACAACAACAACTTTCCTCTTCATAGTGTCCCACATTGGTTTTAGTCTTTCTTCTTTTTTCCTTCCTTTTTGATTCTGCTTTTTGTTCTAGCAGAGCGTTACTGACAATTCTATTTCTCCCATTCTGTGTTCCATATCTTCAACTCTTCAACAACGTATGTCCCTCCACCATGTTGACAGCATCTGAAACATTGGTCCTTATATTCTGAATTATGTTTTCTTATTTTTCCATAGGCTCTTATCCCTCATTTGTTTTATCTGCATTGTTTTTGATTGATTTTTTTAAAAAGTCTCTCTTCGGTTTTGCTTGCAGAGTCCTGTAATTCTTTGGGTTTTTCTTTCATCCACTAAAAATGTTTAGTCTTTGTTCTTTTGAATTCTGTGTCAAAAAGTTCCATCAAACTTTCTGCATTTAGGAAATCCATTGTTGCTGTGTCACTTTTTGGGGGGAGGGTGGTTATAGCATCTTGTTTGAGGTTTGTGTAGGGTGTATAGCAGTCTGCTTCTTCTGTGGCATTGCTATGCCTGAGACCTCAGCAGGCTCTTAGTCTGAAAACCTACCCTGATTAATTTTCTCTTTGAACTTTTGATGCAAGGGAAGACTTGTTTCAGTTGGGAAGAGGTATGGCCTGTGAATTTGCAGCCTTATCTGTCAGGCAACTGCTGCAGCTAGGTGGGTCCAAAGTGCCCAGTGCAAAAGGGAGCTCAGGCTCTTGGATGGGGCAGGAGATGGTTTCATCTGTGATATGGGTGTCCCCTGCACAGTTCAGAAGGGTGGCAATGAGTCATCCTCCATGCTGTGGGATGGCCAGGTGGTAGGGCTGCAAGGCCAAGTCTTCCAGGTGGCAAGTTCAGAGTCTAAATGGCATGGCCAAAGCAGGTAGGCAGAGGGGACTGGGGACCTCCAGGTAGAGGGACCGGAGGACCATCAGGCAATGGGGCCATGGTGTAGTACTCCAGGAAAGAGAGCAATCCATGCCATACTAAGAAATTTTTAAGAAAATTTTAAGGTACCTAGTTAATTGACCAGAATAGATCCATGGTGGCTGTGAAATCACAGCACCTGTGGTGACTTGGTGTGATGTTCTTACCATCCCCATTCCACCCTCAACAGTGCTCAGAGGGCTACTTTAATGATTGTTGATTGCCTTCAAGTTGACCACAACTCATAGCGACCCTAGGAGCAAAAGGCCTGAAGCCCCTCTACAACTATTGACATTTATCAAAGTTCATTGAGTTTTCAGAGGCATGTTGTTTAGGAAGTGGATGCCGCTCATGCTTCCAAATCTGCCATAGTTTGTTATTGTTTTTATGTGCCTTGAGTGCCTGAAATGTATAGCAACCCTATGTACAGCAGCTCTGAACCCTTCCCTATCCTGAGACAGTCTCACTAATTCCAATACACCAACCCCCAATTACTGCATCAAGATTCTCTCATCAAGATTCTCTCATCAAGATTCTCTCATCCAGATTCTCTCTCTTCTGTACTGTCCGTCCACCCTTACTAGCATGATATTCTTCTCCAAGGACTTATCTCCCCTGGCCATGTGCCCAAAGTAAGTGAGGCAGAGCTTCCAAATCCTAGCCTCCAAGGAGAGACTTGGTTTCACTCTCTCCAAGACAGACCTATTTGTTTTCTTTGCTATCTATGGTATGTTCAAGACACTTCTCCAGCACCACAACTTGAAGACATCTATTCTTCTGTCATCATTAGTCATTGTTCAACTCTCTGAAGCATAACAAGTAATTGAGAAGACCATGGCCTAAATTAAACACACCTTTGTCTCTAGACTGACATTGTTGCTCTTCAGCAGTCTGTAGAGGGCCATGACAGCAGATTTTCCCAATGCAATTTGTCTTTTGATTTTCTGACTTGCTATCATATGTTGTTAATGATCTTGATACCACACTTCTCCTCATAAAGCCCTGCTTCCCAAATTATCTGTTCTGCATACAGATTGAAATGGTAGGGGGACAGAATGCATCCCTGGTGCACCCCTTTCCTCATTTTGAACCATGCAGTGTTTTCTTGCTCTGTTCTGAGCTTCTTGGTCCAGGCCTATTTTAGGAAATAAAAGTGGAAGTAGGGCTGAGGAAATCTCTGCTCTCCTTAATATTGAGTTGGAAAGATTCTTTTCAGGTTGATTTACTCACTTAAAAATGTGTGCCACTTTAACAAAGATACGTTGTTAGACCAGGTCCTGAAACTTACATTTTAGTTAGGAAGGGAACTAAGAATTCCATCTATCTACTAGTCAAGGAAAATGATGATTTCTGGGGAAACAATTATCTTAGAAAATACTTCACTAAAGGGAGTGGACACAAAGAGTATACAGATAAGAATGAGTATCTTCTTTTCTAGTTGAGGGTTGAATAGGAAAGAATGCAGCAAACCTTGAGAATGCCATTTAATAAGGACAGTAACCATTAGTTGAATAGATGTCCACATAATCACAGTATATTAACTTTTAAGACATTGAAGGATATATAATTAATGGTGGTTTGGAGAGAAGGAAGAGGTAAGGAAAGTGAGATTTTTAGTAGGAGTAAGTTTAAGGCCACACACACTAGGCTGTTCACTGCAACATTTCTCACTAGGGCTCAACCCTTAAGAAAATCACCCTTAAGTTGTAGATGAAGCAATGTATCTTAGTACGTTTCTGCTGCTGTGACAGAAATACCACAAGTGAGTGTCTTTAAAGAACAAAAATTTACTTTCTTACAATTTTGGAAGCTAGAAGTTCAGCTTTAAGATGCTAGAAAAAGGGGGAGAGTCTCTATCTTTGTCGTTTCTGGAAGAGAATCTTTGTTTCTAACCTCTGTTCCTCAATTCCCTGGTGATCTTCATACGGCATTTGTGTTTTATCTTGTAATTTGTGTTTCCTTGTTTTTGTGTCTCTACTGCTAGTTATATCTGAGAAATGATTAGGTTTTGGACGCACCTTACGTTGGTTGTTGTTGTTGTTGTTATGTGCCGTCGAGTCGCTTGCGACTCATAGTGACCCTATGTACAACAGCCCTAAACTCTGATCCGTCCTGTGCCAATTGCAGTGTCTCTGACATGCCCATCCCGATTATCCCGATCACTGAATCAATCCACGTCATAGAGGGCTTTCCCCTCCTGCGCCGTCCCTCCACCCTCCCAAGCATGATGTCCCTCTCCAAGGACCGGTCTCTCCTCACAACATGTCCAAAGTGTGTTAGACGG